CCGGAAGCGGTGAACAATATTTTAAAACAGCCAGAAACGTCTCCTCCAAAAGTTGTTCGGCACAATAAAACCAATGATATATCATGGAATTTTTTTACGGTGAAATAGTACTGACAATAATATCAAAAATAACCACAAATAAACACGAAACAATAATAATATTATCCACGACGGGAAATCATGTGATGGGGGGGGGGGCGTGAACACCCAGGGGTCGTGATGGCGATGAAAAGGTGGAGATTTTAATGACGTCAAGATAAAATATATAAAAACAGTTCTCGTCTGTGGCGACCGGCTTTAATGGTGAAGGCACACTCGTATAGAATAATATTATCAGGATTTAATTTTTGAAAACGTAACGGTCATTATTATTATTAACAACAACGACAGGAACTGGAAGCGGGTGAATAGGAAGGATGTGAACGTCGCGGTGTATATAAAATAAAATAATAGTGGGGGTGGCTTGGATATAGGTAGGTACAGCAGGTTAACGAGTGTTCCGAAAAGGATACATCCTTAGTATGCGACGAATATTTCCTTTTCATACAATTCCGACGAGAATTCGTTTGTTAATGGTTTTATATCTAAATAATAATTGCAATAAAACATAGTGGCAAAAAAATAAAAATAATAAAATAATAATAAAAATAACGACCAAAATGGTTTTATTACGCATTCACGCATGATGTAAGGTTCGATTACATACTATTATAGCTCGAACAATCATAAAAACAAAATTATTATTGTACATTTGTGCATGCCTTATCACGGTAGCTAGGCAGTCAATAATACCTAATATTATATTATAATATTATAAAGAATATCAAAAGTATGAAATACCCTAAAAATTCCGTATTTCATATTACTACAGCACTTCCATATCAATTATCATGTCCATCATTTTTATATGATATTAAATTTACACTTAACAACACTACCATACACACAACAACAAAATACGATTAATATATACATAAGTTTTTTTTTAAATACCAATTTAAAATAAGTTAGTATTTATTATTATTGTATAATGCTTACCTACTTTAAATAATCGGCTATCAATAATACAGTTAAAAAAAAAATACCTCAAAACGCAATAACTAGATCGTATTATATGTATTATTTACGGAAGACAGTTTAATTTAAAATAGTAAAACTTATACTATTACCTAAAAATAATTATGTTGAAACAATATTTTAGAAATTTTTAGAAATTTTTTCCATATAATAAGAAAATATTATGTAGAAAAAAAAACGTATATTTAAGTATAGGCGCAAAGAAAATATTGTATAAATATACATGACATAAATTTGTGTAAGATGGTACTTTGATTGTCTTAAGAATTTAAGATAATAAACAAAAAAAAATATGCTAATCTTACAACTTCTTGTACTAGTTTCAATCCTCGGAGTTGAAGTACTAAGTTTATGCATGTAGTTGCTCTACTTAAATAGTTCGCATAGCTCACGATGGATTTTTATTCGTGAAAATAATTACTTACACCGACCAAGGATTTTCTTAAGTATACAATTTATAAAACAACAAAGTAATTACATATTTTTTTTTAAATTTCTTTATTCAACGAATTGAATATTCAAAGAAAAATATTTTATAATATTTATACAATTAAAATAATAAAATACTTTAAATTAATATTCACTGATAAATTAATTTAATATCTTTGAATTTATTTTGTTTTGTACATTAAATTATTGCACTAATAATACGCAACATTTTTAATGATTGAACATTTTTCTGCTATACTTATAATTTTATTTTTATTTAGATACTAATTGGTTAAAACTATTTAAATCACCATTTAAACATTACCTATTCTAAATTTAGTTGTGTCAATAGTTTTAACTGTACCTATCTACAACATACGAGTTGTATACGAGTCGTAATATTTTATGAATTCATGATCTTAAAGTATTTTCCTTATTCATTTTAGTATTTTAGTAAGTGTTCCCATAAAATATGTATTCACTTATTTTATCATACACGTTTAGAATTCATTATTTAAATACACAAAAATATAAAGAAAAATAAACTTTATTCATTAAAGTCACTATTTTATGACTATTTTAATGAAAATGATTCATTATTTAAATTTATATTTTTTTAATTTGAATTACGTCTAAACTATAGCTTAATAGCTTAGTAGATTTGTAAATACAATTTTCAATTACAACAATAATTTCGAGGCATGAAAGAACAATCTAGCTGGTATATGAAATGTAAACATTAAACAAAAAAAATCATATTTCCAGATTTTTTTTGCAAACGTAACATTTTTAATAACACTGTAGCGTGTTACTCTTCCCTGGTTTTAATTTATTTATTATTCGTTGAAAACTACAATTGACTATCGGCGAATAATTCCAAGCCACCACCACGTATAATATATAGTGATGGTGGCTATTACAACTAATAAATTCATATGTCAACCGTTTCAAACGCAAACACAATTAAAAATAAAACTGCACATAACGTATTTTAATAAAGAATCACGTAAATCGTGCGAATACCTATTCAAATCTCGGACGGTAATTCACTCGTCCCTCATTGGTTTACAGTTTAGAGCCGCGTGCACAAAACATTTCCGTAAATACAGAGCGCAATATTATTATTTTTTATTATTTCACAAAAATCCATTTATTTCGCCCATTTCTATGTCATTTTTTTTTTTTTTTGCCTTCACATTTCTAATAATATATCGCGAGATATCACATTGCCGGATTTCCTTTTGCAAGCACCCCTCTCCGAAAACTATATTGCCCATTTTGGCACCAGTCGCGGGCTTTCCCACTCCCGCCCCGCTCTCCTAACGCCGCTGTTGTCGTGTTATTGCCGTTATTATTGCACGTGTGAACCCCCGACATTGGCGAAATAGGGTGGGGGGGGGGAAGTTGGGCTTTTTATATTATTCGCGGCCGACACGCGAAATAATTCCGTCAAAACTGCAGCGTACTCGTGAAATCGCTCGGGTTTTTGGAAACCAAATTTAAGAGTTTCGCCGAGCGTTAGTCAAATCTACAGCCCGGACGACTTGTAACGTCAACCGTTCGACGCGGACGAAAGGTAACCTATAAGTACATCTAACACTGCAGTCTCCCGGGGGCGAATTCGTTTTCCGTATAAATGTGTATAATAATACATTATTATAATGTACCTATATGGTCGCTGATGCCGAATGATCAGCATCCCTTTGTAGAGAACACGGTCGGATGTTTTCAACTGTCAGCAATTTCACGGTATAGGTTTTCTCGTCTTCTGGCCATGAATATGCATAGCTAGTAAACCTCGCATATATATATGTATATATATATATATATATATATATATATGTGCTGAATGTAGCTTGTATATATTATATACTCTGCTTGTATGTGTATACAGTACATACATAACATCACATATAATGTTATTTATACACTATTGTCTGCGAGCTCGGAGACTATATATATATATACCAGATACCTATACATATATATATATATATATATGCGTGTGAATGGAAATTTCATGTGAAAAACAAGAAGATAAGAATAGCGTGTTTCAACTCTTCGCGCCACACTACGCCTCCTCTCTGCCCCCTCCCACTGACGGTGTTATTTATATGTATACGTGTAGGGTTATATTATTATAATATATAAATATATCATATTGTATTATTTATTATTATTATTATTATTATTACTATACACATTATATCGTGCACACTGCATGGCTGGTACGCCTTCAATGCCAATAACCCGACTGCACGGGATTTATGAGCGTTTTAATGCGCAGCACTGGAACGCTGGAATTCGCGCAGGTGCCTTGCGCCTACAGAATCCCGATGCAATAAAAACATAATGTTTTATTATTAAATAATAAGCGATGCCGAAACATGTTGATTGTTGTTATTATAATACGAACACTGCACCGTGTAATAATATTATACACTGCCGAAAGTGGTTCCTCGTCGGGTGCAGTAAAGGCGCGCGGTTTCTGAAATGCCGCCGAGTCATAAACTCACTCGCTGTGCAACGATTTCGCTCGGAAGACAATATAGTGTCTCTCCGCAGAGGCTTGGCAAAATATCAAAACCAAACGTACTTGGGATTACCGTCTAAATGAAATGTTTTCACCGCGACAAATGTTTGTAAGTGTTACACACACACACACACACCCACCCACTCGCAACACCCACAATTCCATAACGGTTTGCCATATGATATTATAATTAAACACACGCTATAAATATTATATTGAATGTAACCAATGTACTCGTTTTTACATCGCTGCCATATTTTTATTTTTTCAAAATGTAAAAAAAAAAATATACATTTGATGTATTCATGTATAATATAATATATATTATGTACTATGTAAGTGAGCTACAGTATTGTTATGTAATAAGAATAAATCTATAGTAGAAGAACAATCTGAAATAATTCCATCATTAATATTTAATACACATAATTCATGGAAACTTGTTTGTTTTCAAGGTCAAGTCATTAGCAATACAAATACATTATAAACACAACTATCCCTATCTTCCACATTCAAACTTCAATATGTTGGGAAATCTAAGCACAACAGTTTTATTGATACCCAATCTCACTAAGTATGCACAAACCCAAACTTCGAATATTAACTTAAAGTTTGATGGCCCGTGTCTGCATATAATAATTCAAAACAGTTTTAGTATTAAAATGTAATTTATAGTTTTTATTATAATTAATAATTTTAAAAATAGTGTAATTTTTTTAAATAATTAGGATGTGGAAAAAAAAATGTATTTTACAGTGCGTAAACTCAAAACACTTCATAGATAATATCTAAGTACACTAAGACTATATCTTTCAATTCCTATAGTATTTCTCAAATATATTTAATTATTTTAATGATAAAAGGAATATTATTGTACTTGGACAATTTTTAAATAATTTGTGGTCATAGTTCATGAAAAACTCAAAGAGTGATGGAAAATAAAACAACAATTGCATTACAGGTGATGGTCAAAGCACAGATTCACCCGGTTTCGAGCTCTTCGATTCGGACAACGGCCACGATCTCACGCTATCACCACAAACTTTTACGGCGAATACCACAGCTGAGTCTTTTCTGGTCAACGACAACTCAAACAGCATAGGCATGCCCGTCAATGAGTCCGACACAGGTAATGTGAATACTCTACCGTCTTAGCAAAACATAAACTTTAACCGTTTAAAAATGTATACATCAATTATTAATGAAAATAACGTTTTACTAAGTAGAAAGATTTGTAAAATCGTATTATTATAATATTATATAAGTAGAAAACATTCACTTTGTGACTGCGAAATTCCGTTGGTGCTCTTTTATTATAAATTATTCCATTTGTCAAGTCAGACGTTAGATATAATATGTACGATAGGAAATAGAATATAAAAGAAAAACTCAACCAGCGATGGAAAATAAAACAACAATTGCATTACTGGCAGTTCTTATGTTATGATATATTTTTGTTCTGTAAATAAACTGAAAAAGTAGACTAATAACCTATTGTTGTGGCCCAAAGATATTTAGAGCTTTTCTGGTTCGGTAAAATTAGAACGCAATACAATATGTTGTAATCGTGATAGTTATCTAAGCAATTATACTAAAACAATACTCACAAATTAGCAAGTTATAGTTTAAGCAGAAAAAGATTAAAAAGAAGTATTGTGCAATTAAAAAAAATTAAAAATTAGTTAAAATAATGTGAGAGTTGTTTTTTACGGTTCTTTTAATTTTATCATATTTATTTTCTCTTGTTTCTAGTCAGGAGGAAATATCCCGGCTATAAAAATTATTAGTTTATTCCTAAAATTTATTGTATTTATATAATACAATAAATTAATAGCGGAATCAAGTTATAAGTTATGACATGTTTTTATAGTTGAATCGATATAATCTATATTATCTAAGTTGATTTTATGTATTCATACTATTTGATTTATGTAACATGACATTTTCATGGATGAGTTTAAAACTTTCATTTTTTTTTTTTTTTTATCACTATGTGATTGAAATTCGATCATAATTTTTTTATTTTTAGTAGGTACACACAAATTATATGATGCTTATATTTTCGTCAACTTAATATAAATTTTGTGACATTATCAGTATTTGGAAATTACGAGTTTTTTTTACGACTTCTGGGGATACTTTGATATATGTTTTTTTTATTTCGAACTGTATACCTCTCCAGTGCACCCGGTGCGTTTGATTACGAGTAAATTCTACACCACTTTTCCCTTCTCTCTCCCACACATACACACACAATAAATACGTATAGCTCGAAAACAACTGCCGGGGGAACGATAAATAAATTTGGGGAAAGTTTTGGTTTTGGCGCCCAACAACCTTGCTCCCCCACCCCCTTAACGCGCCCCCTCGCCCGCACGAATCCTTATCCCATGCGTAATTTAATAGTTTCCACCCCACCCTGGTGACGGCGGCAGCGGTGATTTAGCCCCACTCTAGGATAAAAACTCATAATTCACGATATTGCCAAATGTATGTGCATGTATGCTGAAACCCTCTCAAACACACCCCTTTTACAGAAATAGGTGACCTGCGACGCCAGAATTTCTAAACAGAAAGATTTTATGGAGAGAAAACTTATTGATGTTACAAAACAAAATATTAAATTCAGCATCTTGTATTTGACCAAACATTAATATTGATAGCTGCTGGTAAGATTATCAACCCCGAAATAAATGGGTAGTTGTAAACTAGTAGGTCAAAAGTACATCATTTTGATTAAGTACAACATAAAATGTAATGAGTGTAAATATTGTTTTTTCTAAGAGTAGTAAAGTATGCATATTATGATCTAGGTAATGAAATAAGTTCAAAATTTATTAGGACCTTTATAGTATAATATTATATACCATTAATCATTTAAAGCTTTTCAAATTCGATAAGAACTTACAATAGTTTTTCAAAATTAATTTATAAAAACATACTATTTCTATTTTAAAGCATATTTTTTTTTCTTATCTTCTTAAATGGAAATCTTCATAATTAGTTTTAAATGTACACACTACAGATATTTTTTTTTGTTTGTACATATCATAATTTAAAACAACAGTGTAATTATAATAATAAGAAGACATTTATTTCAGAAATATTAAAATATATTCATTTTTTAAAATAAAAAATACTTTCTGACCTAACCTCTGAGTAACCTAGTTTTAGATTGGGCAGTATTTAATTAATAATAAGATAAATCATAATAACAGCAATAACAACGCGTCAAAAGAAAGCAGCAACGTGCTGGTACATTTTAATCCATTTAAAACCATTTAAAATAAATTTATCATTATTTTTAAAAAAATCAGTTATAACTTATAACCCGCGTTCAAGTGTAACAAAATGGTTTAGTCGAATTTTCATTTATTAAACAAATATAAATAACAATGATATCTGTGATACATTATGTTTGGTTTTTAATAATATCACATCAAAAAAGTTGCTATTTCATTGTTTTTTTTCTTTATTAAAATCAGAAGCGTAAACTATATATTTTTACCATACTTTTGACATAATATAATATTGTCTCTAGCTCTTTTTATTAATATTATTAGGTTTTGGTAATCCCTTACAGTCAACAGTAAACAATAAACTTATTGGATACTCGTTCAAACTACAACATAAAAAAAATCGGTTGACATATTGGTTAAAGTGTGCGATTTGTAATATACACTAATATACAAGGAGATGTGAATCCATAGTAGACAGGAAAACGATTTCAAATCCCGAAAAAAAACCTTTAAACATTTTGATGTGCGTGTGTCGTGTGTGTGTAATTTTAAACTGTTGGCATTTGTTTATTTGGCTGTCGAAGTAGTTGATGAAAATAGTTGAAATTTAAAACAAAAGCGACGTATTTGATTCTTCGGACTTCCTGTAATCCAATAAAAAACACGTAACAAAAACAAATAAAAGTGTAGGTTTGTTCAAGAACTTTTATGATTTGAGCAAATAAATCACATCCGTTTCAAAAACATTTATTCAGTTATCATTTAATGTACATTTATTTATGAAATACTATCAACGTTTTCAGACAAGCAATATTATGTTTTATTCATAAATAATATATTTAATAAATACTTAAATAATTGTAATTGACATTTCGTTTTTTTTACTCTAAAGTATAGAATCGGTCCCTTAAAACCTTTTTTTGAGGGTATTTTTACATGTTAAAATTATTAGATAGGTATCATTGTGTAATAAGTGACAACACATAATATGAAATAAAATATTCACAAGTATTATTATTTTAATCGTATATTAAGATAAAAAGTTACTTTTATAATAATGTATTGGTAAATAACCTATTATAAACAATATTACAATACTTCATTTTTTAACATATTTATTCTTTCCACGTTAACATGCAAATTAATGACGTTTATGAATTTTTAAGCATTTTAAAGCATCAAAGAAATTACGTTAATGCATCCTACAGTGCTAACTAAATCTTTCACTCAAATTGTCGTTTATTATAAATATTTATACTATTATTAACAATAATATTCCATTTATATTGTGCTTATAGGTTTAGATGGTATTAAATTGTGTGAGAGTTAAATTTTTCTCCGTTATATTTCTATTAGTGCCTGCATGGAAGATAAATTCTATATAGTTACGCAGTGTCGCATAATATGAGTTATGAATATCAATTATTAAATCTATACCCTAACTGTATCAAACTATGATATCGTGTACCTATGGCCAAATTAATTGTTGAATGCAAAATATATAAAGCAACATGTGAACGACCGTTTTATCGTTTTTGGAACGTAATGACTGGGTACTTGACGTGTATGTATACTAGCACTAAAAAAAAATAAATAAGAAGAATAGCTCAGAAAAAGTCACTCAAAGTGGCATATTAATTAACGTCGACAATTGCGTAGACGTATTTTAATACAAAAATGTAATTTTAAACTTGGATGAAAAAAAATAAAATAAGAAATAAACTAGTAGGTTCGTAGCATAATAAAATTAGAAAAAAAAAAAAAAACGGAATACTCTACAACGGTACAGCACGCTGGTTGTAGGACCTATATATGTATGTGCATAAAACGGGCTGTCTGAAAACAGGTCACGTTGAATGGAACAAGGGACACATATACATACATATATATATACTCTTGTGCACTCAACACGTCTTAGTTTAATTAAACGACAACCGTAGGTGGGCCAGAGCAAGCTGCTGGTTGGTGGGTGAGGTGAGGAACAGCAGACAGGTACTTGAGTCCATTGTCAGATTATTCAGATTTATTTAGGTTACGTGCGAGCTTAATGGCAAACGGTAAACAATGATTACCGACGAGTTTAGCGACTCGGAAACCTACGTTGTTCGAAGGGCTTTTATCGTGTTTAAATATCAGGAATAGCCTAGACAACAACCACGACTGAATCTGATTTTGAAACGACTATATTTTGGTACACGAGAAGAGCTGCAAACGTACTATAATATAATAATAATAATAATAATAATTGTGAATTGAACCACAACGAAACCAACCATTATTCCCATAAACAAATAACACGACTTCTGTCATTCTCTTGTTGTTGTTGTATGATTACAACAACTTTTCAAAATCGCCGAGTATACTTTCAATAATATTAAAATAATAATCGATACGATATTATCATACTTAGAAAATCAGAATTATATGGTTTATCAATCCTCATTTTATGCGTTATTCAAAACAAAAAAAAGTGAAAGTCATGAGTCGAATTTTTCTAATAATATAGATATTATTTTATTATTTCATCTAACATATAGACAAACATAAATAAACATAATACGGTTTCAAAATTGACACCTATTTTATGAAATTCATTAATTAATAATAATTAGTGATGGACGACGACATAGATTATTTGATCATATGATATCAAATGGCAAATTTTCAACAACGATATCAATTTATAAATATCCGATAAATTGCAATATCAAAATTAATGATACTCCGCGGTAGTATCCAAACCATAATATAATTCCAACAATGTGGCTGATAATTTTAAATCAGCTTATCAAACCTGGGAATTTAAATATAGAAAAATAATAAGAGATGACATATTTAAGAACAAAGAAATATTTTTTTTTAAGTATTTTGGTCAAGTGAGGAAAGGAAA